CAGAACTGAGGCTACATAGTGAGACCCTGTCTCAAAAATATTCTCAAATTGCATTAGTTATATATGTTGTGTAATTATATGTGTGTGCATGTGCATCCAAGTGTATGATCCAAGTGTATGCATAGAGCATGTGTGGAGGTCAGTTCTCTGCTTTTACCATATAGGTCCTGGGAATGAACTCAGCTTGTTAAGTGGAGCCATCTCACTGGCCTTTTAAGTTTATTTTAACAGTTAGGTAAACACCTAAAAAAAATGTGTATCTGTATTAGTCAACGTCCTCTGTTTGAACCAATAAGATATAAAGAATTTATTAAATTAGTCTGTTAGAATAACAGCTGTCTCACACCTGCGAGGCAGAGAACCCGGTAGATGCTCAGTCTTTGAGGCTGAGTACCTCGGCAGTTGGAATAGTCCCACAGTGGCTGTGACACACTGAAGTAGTTGACAACCTGCTGGTGGCTTGGTTCACCAGGCAGAGTGCCTTAGTAGTTCCAATGTGGTGCTGAAACCATGGAAGGCTCCTGGACAGTCACTAACCTTTAGTCCATGAAGGTACTGATACCAATGAAGAAATCAGTAGTGGCCACAGTAAAAACAGCTCAGAGGAAAGAGGAAACACAGACTGGGCAGAGCAAAAGGTGAATGATCTTCCTCCTGTGCGTGGAGCCATAAAATGGCTGCTTGATTCTAGGCTGCTTGGACTCCATGAAGCACAGTGTGCCCAGCATGACATGATGATTTTTTGCCTCTGGACCACGGTGTTCTTTGTTCTTTAGATGTGTGCTCAACCATTTAGATTTGGCAGGTATCCGCATGCGAATTTGCCTCCTGCTTACCTGAGAACTTTTCTCCCGCTTTTAGAATTTCCTTGAGAATATCCTGCTTTTTTATTTTCACTGAAACTAGTTCCTCCCCCCCAAACTGCCCATTCTTACCCCTTATAAGCTGTAACCTAAAGAACAATAAACAAAGACTTGATCGGAATTTTGTCTTGTCTGCATTCTTCAGGTCTCTTGTCCCATCCCATTCTCACCCCTCTGTTAGGGTCTCGTTTGACTGACCTGCGGGATGGGTCACTCCTGCAGCACCCTCTTTCCACCTGCCACGCCCCGTCTCCACTGGCCTTTCCACCTGGGCCTCTACCAGAAGGTGCTGCCCACACTTGAGCTGGGGTTTCCACTGTCAGTTCTTCAGGTGAGGCTTCCTACTTAGCTGATTCTAATTTGTGGCAGGCTGATAGTGAAACCAACTATCACAACATCCTACTGGAATGCAGTGTGCTCCTTTCTTATGTGTACATTTTATTACATTGAAGCATTCATCTGCTCAAACATTTCTTTCTGGTGTAAACTTCTGAGACACTTCTAGCTTTGAAATCCGTGCCCGTATCTAGATACCATATATGTAATAGCCCACCAGAAAATGGCTGCTGTGTTTCTGTGCCATGAATGAATGGCTTCATCTCTCCCCAGCTTTACATTTAAATATTTACAGTAATAGGAAAAGACAGTCACCACACTATCAATCAAAATCATATGAAATTGTTCATTTCAACCTGTAAATATCAATTTAATGTACTCAAACTAATACTTAAACTTAAAAAAAATAAAAAATAAAAATAAAGAAGTTGGATTTCCGCAGCAGCTGCAGCAGCTCAGATCTTCTGTAGCTCTATCTCCCTTTCATTTCCAGAAATACGGCTTTCTCTGATGGTGTCATTAAGGTGTTCAATGACATGAAAGTCCTCCATGCCAGAAGAAGTGAAGAAACACGAGAAGGCAGTGCTCTTCTGTCTGTGTGAGAACAAGAAGAACACCATCCTGGAGGAAGGCAAGGAGATTCTGATAAGAGATGTGGGGTAGACTGTGGATGACCCCTATACCACTTTTGTCAAGACACTGCCAGACAAGGACTGCAGGTATGCTCTCTATGAGACAACCTTTGAGACCAAGGAACAAGGAGGAGGACCTGGTATTCGACTTCTGGGGCCCTGAGGGTACAAAATTATCTATGCCAACTCCAAGCATGCCATCAAAAAGGAGCTGACCATAAGCATAAATCATAAGCAAACAGGGACTGCTGCACCCTGGCAGCTCCATCATCTCCCTGGAGGGCAACCCTTTGTGAGCTGCCTCCAGCACCCTGCCTGGAGCATTTAGCAGCCCCTGACCTGCTCTTGGGTGTTGCAAGCTGCCCCTTTCCTGCCAGACCAGAGAGTCTGGAGGATCCCAGTACAGAGAGGACAATCGCTTCACTCCAGTTGCCACATGTTCCTCCTATCCCCTCTTCCCTCCATCCCTGATGGTTCTGGCCTTCCCAAACTGTTTCTGATCTTCTTATTCAATCTCTTGGGTTTGAAGCAGACCAAGTTCTGTTTCAAGCACCCAGTTTGGAGGGGGAACCTGTGTTTTTTTAACAACACCCCTACTCCTCATCCCTCGCCATCCCATGCTGCCAATTTCTTAACACAATCATAACCCTCCACTCTTTTGTTTAGTTCTGTGTATGAGTGAAATGTGGAACTGACCCTCCCTGTGCTGGATGGTTGTCTTCCCCTTTTCCTTGATTGTGGCCATGCATGGAAGCAGTACCAGTAAAGGACCTTCAATTAAAAACAACAACAACAATAAAAGACTAACAAAAATATTAGAAACAAAAAAGCATTTTAGATACTGTTGAAAATAACCACTGAAAACACATTTTTAAATTTTTTAATGATTTTTGTATGAGTTTCACATCATACACCATTCATCTGTTCATTCCCTCATATCTGCATTTTGCCCTTGCAACCTCCCCCACAATATAAAAAACACAAACAGCAGCAACAACAAAAGCATAGAAAACATCTCATTGCGGAAGCTGTAGTATGTTACAGTGTGTCTCACGTTAGGTCCCTTTGTCCACACATCTTCACTTGCAATTGTTCATCGCAATGAGTCATTGGTCTGGTTCAAGATCTCTGGCTTCTGTGACCCCATCAAGGTTGGTTCTTCACTGGGACTCCTCTCAGTTATCCCACTTCACCCTTTATCATGGAGATCCTGCAGCTTTGGAAAAGCAGGACTGGCCCTTTCACCAACCGTCTGCAGATGATATAGATTTTGGGGTGGGCCAATTCAGAGCTCTGGATCTGGACCAGGGTAGCTGAGATGATCAGGATGCCAGCTCTAACTTATCTGTACCACTAGGGTGAGCTCTCCAGTGCTGCTCCAGCTAGCCCACCCAAAGCCACCATCTGCCTGAGGCAGGGCCAGCTCTCCTGTTCTCATGCTCTCAGGGTGGCTCACCTGCACTCACACCTCCAGAGCCAGATCCACTGTGCTGCCAAGTTAAGGTTTGGGGGCCCACTCTCTTCTAAGTGCTTCATCCTGTGAGGGTCTGGGATAGCTCTCACACTCTTGGGGCTGGCTCACTGATCATTGCCATCAGGGCCAGCTCCACTATATTGCCCAGGCCAGGTGCAGGGCCTGCTCTCCTGAGTGCTACAGCCAGTGAGTGGACAGGGCTAGCTCTCCCACTTTCATGACCCCAGGATCCACTCTCCCAGCTGCAGGTGGTGGAGGTAGGGGACACGGGAATGTCCTGCACCTGTGTTCTTAAATGGCAGATGAGTGGCAGGGCCAGCCCTCTCATCCTCTCATCATCAGTGCTGGTTCACCTGCACCCGTCCACCAGGGGGTGCTTTACTGTGCTGCCCAGAGGAGGTACAGTGTCTACTCTCCACAGTGTTGTTGCATTGGGCAAGGGGTAGGGCCAGCTCACCCACTCTCATGCCCCAGGGTCAGCTCTTCCAATTGCCTCAGGTGGTGAGGGTCAAAGGGGCAGAGGGCATCTCCTCCTCCCACCTCATGGCAGAGGGGGCCAGCTCTCCCACATTCTTGCCCTCCAGTCCGAATGAAACTTCAGGGAAGCAGGGTACAGGGCCCTCTCTCCCAAGTGCTGCAGCTGCAGCTGGAGAAGGCAGGCCGGTTCATCCACACACATGACCCCAGGGCCAGTTCTCCTGACTGCCTCAGGTGATGAGGTGGGGAGGGAGGGATGCATCACCCCACACCCAGTGTCATCTCACAGCAGACAAATAGCAGAGCTAGATCCCCAAAGCTCTCAACTTACCTACCCTCCCCTGCCCCCAGCCACCAGGGTCAGCTCTGCTGTGCTGTACAGGTAAGTGCTGAAGCTGGTAAGGAGCAGGAATAGCTCTCCCAAGCTCATGACGCTGTTGGCAGCTTTTCTGACTGCTGGAGGTGGTAAGGGGCAGGGGTTGGGCATCACCTCTGTGCCAGTACCACCCCACAGCAGATAAGTGGCAAGGTCAGCTTTCCCACACTCACACCCTGGGTGCTGGCTCACTCAGGCCCCCAGTACCAGGACCAGCTCTACTGTGCTTCCTAGGTGAATTACAGGGCCAGTGCTCCCAAGTGCTTCCATGGGTGAGAGATGGGGTCAGCTCTCCAGAGAGCTGGATCCAGTGAGGGGCAGGGACAATTATGCACAGCCCCTGGATGTCTACTTGGCCCCTGGTGGCTGCACCAAGCAGGGACATTCCCATGTTCTCTAGTAAGCCACGACACCAACCCTGACCCTGCCACCGCAGAGCCACAAACTCAGGCATGGCCCTCAGTGGCAGCTTGGGCAGGGACCTCACCATGGCCTTAGATGGTGGTGTTGGCCACTCATAACAGACTACTCCTCTCCACCCTCGAGTGTCCAGTTCCATCTCTCTTCATAATGCTCAAGCTACTCCACTTCCCTTTTTCTCCCATATGATCACTACATACTTGCACATTGTGGTGGCTCCCAAAATGCAGGCTGACCATGTGACTGGCAGGGCCCTGGGCAACATCCTCCATTGTGCTAAGTGGCATGGTGGACAAGCAAGTGTCTATGGCCCCCGCCTGTGCCATTTGCTGGAGGGCAGGTCTGTAGGTGGCACAATAGTTCAAAGGTTTCTGTCTTCCTCCTTCTGGACTGTGCTGCCTGGATTTGATTTGATTTGACTTTTATGAGTCCTAGGCATAAGACAGCTTTGGCCACTAAGCCAGACATCAAGTTAGGATGAAAAAAGGACTGCCATCTGCTCTGCCCCTGACTGATATAAGAACAACACCAATGACAAGGTGTCTCCACCCATTGCCCGGGATGGAGGGTGTACATATATATATATATATATATATATATATATATATATATATATATATATATATATATATATATATATATATATATATATATATATGTATATATATATATGTATGTATGTATGTATCTTCAGCCATATATGACAGCCAGGGCTGCATAGAGGGATCCTGTCTCAACAAGAAAAAGAAAGAGAGAAAATTGGCAAAGAACAAAGATACTCCTTCTTTTATGACTTTTTGGTCATGGTGTTTTATCACAGTAAAGAAAAGGAGCAGCAATACCCCATTCCCTGGTACCAACTTCCATCTTCATAGTTTCTACAACTATGAAGAGACACCATGACCATGAAAATTCTTATAAAAGAAAGCATTTAATTGGGGCTTGCTTACAGTTTTGGGAAGTTAGTTCATTATTGTGTCAGGGAGCATGGCAACACTCAGGCAGACGTGGTGCTGGAGAAGTAGCTGGGAGTTCTACATTGAGATCTGCAGGCAGAAGGAAAAGTGAGATTCTGGGTTTGGAATGGGCTTTTTGAAACCTCAAAGGCCAGTGACACACTTCCTCCATTAAGGCCACACTTCCTAATCCTTTCAAATAGTGTCACTTCCTGGTGACCAAGTATTCAAATCTATGAGCCTTTGGGAGCCATTCTCATTCAAACCACCACACACAGACATTGATACTAATTGGCCAAATATTTTAAATTAATTCTTTAAGTATTCTCAAGAAGCTAAAGGGAACCACAGACCAAGAGCTAAAGTAGGAAAGAGAGTGATATCTTAGCAAACAGAGAGAAAGCTTCTCTCTTGTTTGCATTTTTATTTTAGTTAGGGAACATTGTCTTGGTTTTATCTTCCAAGATAACTAAGAATAACTTTGTGTTCTTTAATTTTTCCAATAACATTGTTTTCATTTCAAAAACCATCTTTTTGAAAAAACTCCTAGACTACAGAGAATATGTACAGAAGATAAATAAACATACCCATGCAGAGACACATGCACATACATTATTAAAAATAAAATAATTTTTAAATTCTTGAATGTATTACTGTTGGTACTTTTAAAAATATTTATTCATTTCACTGTGCATGCATGCACACACACACATGTCACAGCATGCATGCCAAAGTCAGAGGACAACTTTCAAGAGTCAGTTCTCTCCTTCCATTGTGGCACCAGGGAATAGAAGTCAGGTCATCAGGCTAGTGTGGCAAGTGCTTATAAGAGCTGAGCCACCTCACCAGCCCTAAACTTTGTTACAGTATCGTGATTAATGACCAAAAAGCATGGAAAATCTAAATCCTAATTCGTAGAATGGATGGCTGGCTTGGTGCACAGTTGTATAAATTATACCTTTTTAAAACTTTGTAAGATTTTTTAAAAATGTGTGTCTTTTGCCTGCATGTATGTCTGTGCCCAACATGTATGCAGTGCCCTTGGAGACCAGAAGAGGGCACAGTTCTCCTGGAACTGGGGTTACAGTTGGCTGTTAGCCACTATGAGGGTGCTGGGAATCAAATCCAGGTCCTCTGCAAGAGCAGGCGATGCTTTCAGCCACTGAACCATCTCTCAGCACCTAAATGGATATCTGACAGAAATTAAAATGAATAAAATAGAGTTCTAGGTCCAGATGTGGACAGATCTCAAAAACTTGAAGCTGAAGGAAGAGGCAAACTGCAAAGAGATGCAAATATTTTCATTTCATTTACAAAAGATTGAACCATATGCAAGAATGGTATTATGTAGTTAATGAATCCACACATATGAAATAAATATTTTAAGCCATTTAGAATAATAAACTCCAAACTCAGGAGAGTAATTAGATGTAGGGAGGCAAAAATACTGAAATGAAAAGCATAAGCGGCTTTTATTACAAAATTTTGTTTCTAAAGCTACAGGTAGATAGATATTTTTATATTTTATAATTATATTTTTACTTATAAATGAGAATAGTTCAAAACTGTAGTTAATAGAAAAGTCGTGTTTTACCTATTTTTTCTCTTTTAAAATTTTTTATTCACTTTACATCCTTGTTGTAGCCCCATCCCTCTCAGCCCTATCCTCTCTCCATCTCTCTCCCTCTTCCTCCCCTTTTCCTCATAAAAGGGGAGCTACCTTTCCCATCCAGCCCAACTCATCAAGTTACATCAAGACTGAGCATGTCCTCTTCCCCTGTGACCTGGCAAGGAAGTCCTGCCAGAGGAAGTGATCAAAAAGCTAGCAAGTGAGTCTGTGTCCAACGCAGTTCCCACTTCTCTTTCTAGAAGACCCACATGAGGTCTAAGCGGCGACAACTTTGTAAGGGGCCTAGATCCAGTTTGTTCATGGTCCTTGGTTGTTGCTTCAGTGTCAGCAAGCCCCTCTGGGCCATGGTTAGTTGGCTCTGTTGGTCTTCTTGTGGAGCTCCTGTCATCTCCAGGTCTTTTTCTCTTTCCTCCCACTTTTCCACAAGATGCCCTATGCATCGCCCAATGTTTGGCTGTGAGTCTCAGCATCTGTTTTGAGGACAACTCTGTCAGGCTTCTGTCTGCAAGTTTAGCAGAGCATCATTCACAGTGTCAGGGGCTGAGTACTTTCTGATAGGATGGTTCTTTGGTTGGGCATTCCCTCAGTCTTTGCTCTATTTGCTCTATCTATATCCCTGCACATCTTGTAGGCAAGGTAAATTTGGGACCAAAGTTTTTGTGGGTGGTTTGGTGTTCCTTTCCCTCTCCTAGGAGACTAGTCTAGGTCCTGGGTGTCCTCTTCAGTCTCTATGGCCTCTGCAATTAGGAGTCTCCGCTTGAGAACCCCTCATAGCCTCCCAAAAGCCTGCCCTGACTTAGACTGTCCCAGAGATACCCCATCCTCAGTTTCACTTTTCTTTACAGTCCTTCTGTCCTCTTGCCCTTGTTCTCCCCCAGGTCCATTCTCCACCCTCCACCCTCTTAATTCTCTGAACCCACTCTCCTACCTTGTTCCCTCTCTTCAGCCACTACCTCTGCCTATTCTATTTCCCCTTCTGAGTGAGATTTATGCATCTTCCCTTGGATCCTCTATGTTACTTATCTTCTTTGAGTCTGTGCCTCATAGTATGCTTATCCTGTACTATATGGCTAAAATCTACTTATGTATTTCTTTCTGGGTCTGCGTTACTTCACTTGGGATGATCTCTTCTATCATGTTTTATTTAAAATAGAAAGGAACTCATGAAAATCAGGTCTCTGCTTAAATACATTAGAATAAAAGTATAAGGATAAAGGAGAAGATATCAAAATCCAGCTTCCATTTACAAGACATCAATAAACACTCTAGTTTTGCTTAAATTTAACCAAAAAGGATTGGCCTGTACAAGACTATACACAGAAAAATAATCAATAATAAATTGCAACAGAAAGGGAATTATGCAAGCAGGAGGCAAGATTTCCTAATAGGCTAAAATGACTTTTCTTATAATTCCAAAAGGATGATATTTGACTGGTGTGTAAATTGACAGGTATGGTATACAACATCTCTTGCTAATCTCCCTGGGATTAGCAAGCATGGTGAAGGAGGTAAGGAAGGTAGTGTGGGAGAGTTTAGGATTACACATCTATCTGATAATTCTCCAGGATTCTGTGATTGTTCTTCCTGCCCACCCAGCTACCACTGAGATAAAATAGGCCAACATGGCCTGCATTGCCTCACTTGCTGTTCCCATCAGCATCCTTATGTGCAATGTCCCTGAAATGGAAGATGGTGGTCTCATCTGGCTGATCAAGGAAATCACCCAGGCACCCTGTTCTCTCTATTCCACCTGAGTTAAGAAGGTCTACATCATACCACCTTGACCATGCTTGTCTGATCTTGGAAGCTAAGCAGGGTTGGGCTTCGTTAGTACTTGGATTGGAAAAAATTGAGATGGCCCCAGAAAGGAATCAGAGGTCCTTCAATATCACAAAGCAGGTTACTATAACAACAAATGACTCCCCCTTCTCCCCTGCCTCTTTCTACTCTTCTCCAGAGGCAAGCACTTGCAACAGGGCTTTCCAGAAGGTTCTTCCAGTATTTATTTACCTACATGTTTCAAAACAAAATAAACTATAATTTTGCAACTTCTCAACTTTAGACACTGTTTGTTAGCTTCCTCTCACAAAAGACAAGCACTTGGTCTTTGCATTTCTCCTCCCATTTCCCTGCATCCACTCAACATATCTTATCAACATTTTCATTAAATTCATGCTCAAATTACTAGAACTATGATCTGTTGAACCAAGCACTGAGATATTGAGTGCTTTCTCAACCTTTAAATTTTTCCTTAGGGATAGTGCCTGTCTTCTACTCACTGAACTTTCTAAAGCACCTACTACTTATTTCTACTCTTCCTGCATCTCAAACAGCCTTTTACTATGATTTCCTACATGGTCTAAGGTAATTTATCACTGTTTCTTTGGATATAAAAGTAAATAAGTCCTTGAACCATCTGTTCTGCTCCAGTCCAAACCACTTGTCCTCTAGACCTGCTTATACAACTGCTATCTGGGACTTCTCTTTGCCAGCAACCCAAAAATTCCCTTTGCTTCCCCTCTGTGGGGGTTCCTATTTCCTGAGCCTATGCTATATTCCTTCTCGGTTCATTTACTCATCTTACTGAGATGCAACCAACACTGGCTTCCCAGGAGAGTTAGTGGGGCAGGTGGAAATGCCCCCCAGACTCGGGTTGGATATCTATAGGATACTAGATGGAGAATCAATATCTGAGACATTCAGCTTATAGGAAAGATTGATTTTGGCTCACAGTTTCAGAGACTACAATTCATGATCAGTTGGGCATATGACAAGATAGATCATTATGGCAGGGAGCATATGGCAGGGCAAAGCTGCCCACTATACAGTAGCCAAGAAGTAAAGACAGGGAAAAGAGGAGCCGGTCTCAACAGGGCATGCCTTTCCCTACAAATAAACTAACTTCCCTCCCAATAGATCTCACCTCCTAAGATCACTTCTCAATGGTACTGTCAGCTGGGAACCAAGCATTCATACAC